TATACCAAGCTTGGGCTAGTTGAGGGCATCTCCCACCTGGAGACCCAAGAGGCCAAGAGGGATGAGGAGGATGGTGGCATCAGAAGTAGCTGGGGCAGCCCCAGGGTCTCAGAGCCACAGAATGGTTGAGATCGAAGGGACCTCTGGAGATTCCTGGTCCCACGCCCCTGCTCAAGCAGGGCCACTGAGAACCCTGGCTGCCTGTGCTGTGCTTTTGCAGGCAGGGATGATACAGGGATGGGAGCCCCATGCCTAGGGGACGGTTCACACCTGTCCTTGGGACCCCTTTGATGCTCCTGTCACGGTGGGTGCCCACAGAGTAAGTGGGGGTTTCTCCCTGTGCATGACAGTGATCAGGTGTGGCAGGCCCCACGCCCGGGACTGTCTTGCTATGTGGCTCCATATCCATGCAAGATGGGCAGCTCCTGTCTGGCTGATACCAACTGTTAAATATATTTAAATACATAGATACATATATTAAAAAAATTAAAATCAATCCTATTAAAGCCACAACACACAGCAGTTGGAGGCAGCATGTGCTTTGTGCTGGGCTGTGGGGGAGAAAGGCAGCCAGACGGCAGTCAGCCGCACTTCAAAATGCCCACAGGAGTGAGGGACCAGCCTCGGTCCTGGTCACCCCTCATGGTGAGCAGCAGCCTCCCGTCCCAGGCTCACAGTGTGCTCCCCGTGAGCAAAGGCTGGAGCACTCCCAGCCACCCAGGACATACTGTGCGGAGGTGGATGAATCTGTTCTGATGTCTGGATTAATCCCTGGGTGCTCCAGGTCCTTTACCTGAGAGAATCACCAGCATCCCCGCTGTGACACACACACAGAGGACAAAAAACCAGGATGGGCAGGGCTCATGGGAAACTCACTTTTAATGGTTTATTGCCAATGTTACAAAGGTTGACACATGGTCAGACAGGCGGGAACCACACTGGAGTTGTAAAACCAACAACAACGAGTCTAGGGTTTTAGTTTATTTCAAAAAAAAAAAAAAAAGAGAAAGAGAAAATCAGTTTGCCTTGGCCAAGCTGACTGCATTTCCTGGGTATGCCTGGAGCCTGAGCCAGGGTTGCCACAGCCCCTGGAAGAGCCAGGCTTTGAGTTGGCAGTGAGATGGGTCAGAGGGTCCCAGGGCAGTTCCCACACTAGCCTGGTCTAGGGCAGCATGTGGTGGTCCTCCCAAATCCACAAGGCCCAGCTGTCCTGCACGGCACCAGCCCTGCCCCACTCCTCTCCCCGCTTATCCCTCTCAACAACAGCGGTGGCAAGGAAGGTGGCAAACACCCCCCTCTGTCCATGCTGAGGACCAGCAGTGCTGGCACCTCCCGCTGAGCACGTGCCCCAGGAGTTGGCTATCACCTCCTGCCCTGCTCAGGGGGGCTGCTGGCACCCCACTGTTCCCAACCCTGCTTTGAAATAAATCCTTTAAGATGCTGGTAATTCTCAGAGCATCAGCACAGGTGCTGTTCCCCTGGAATCAGCTCAGGACCAGCCCAGTGCACATTATCCTTGTCCCTCCCTGGAGCTGTGGGAGCCCACCTGGCCAGGGTATGGCGGAGAAGACCAAAAACTAAGTTTGTGCTTTGTATACGAGACCCTGCCTACACTGAGGGGCTGGGGAGGAGGTGGCTGTGCTCGCCCCACAGCTGAGGCTACTCAGACCCCTCAGCCTCTCACCACCCCAGCAAGCTACAAACATGCACACACACACACACGCGCGCGCGCACGCATGGGAAGAGGGGTCCCCAGGGGGCTGGGGAGGCAAGGGGAGGAGGAGAAAGTGGCCATCTCCCCAAAACCATGTCAGCACCGAGCCAAGAAAAGCACACTACTGGCCCAGCAGTGGTGGGGAGCACAGAGGTGCCAAGTGCCCCCCTGCCCCATGCCCAGGTGCAGCCCCCCAGGCACAGCAACAAGTGCCCCCAGAGCCCTGCCAGCAGCTGTTAGTCTTGTAAAACTAAATCTTTGCTTCCTATAAGTCACTCACCTCCTCGTGGTACCGGTGACCTGAGATCTTATGATGGAGGGATGTGGCTCAGGTGGGTGCTGTGAGCTGCCAGCGATGGGGATGGGTCTCAGACACCCAGATCCTGCACAGTGATCTGTCATCCCACACTGCCCTGTTTTGCCCCTGCCTCAGGGCATGTCCCAGTGTAGACCAAGTGGGATGCCCATCTTGCCAGAGTGGGATTCAGGAGGATGAGCCTCCCCGTGCCCCCTCCTGCTCTCAGCACCTGCTTCAGCCCAGGGCAGCTGGAGGACTCTGTTCCCCATGGCCTCAGGGGGCAAGGAATAGGGGACATGGGGCTCGGTGCTGCCCCCAGAGCTGGGAGTGGCCAGGGAGGGCTCTGCTTCCCCTGTCCCCCTCGACAGACACTTACAAACACACACAGAGAAAGGAAACCGTAACCTTATAAAAG